GGCGGCACCTTCGATGTCTCCGTGCTGGAGGTTGGGGACGGCGTTTGCGAGGTGCTGGCAACCAACGGAGACACCCATCTGGGCGGTGACGACTTCGACAAGGTCATCGTGGATTGGCTGGCGGAAGACTTCCAGAAGACCGAGGCGCTGTGGGACGCATGATGTTGTTGCCTCACGTGGTTGTTGATTGGGGTTGGTGCCTGGAAGCGCACGTGACACTTAGCAGTACGCTTGGGAGAGCAAGCCTCCTAGAGAAGCCAGTGACTACAAAGCCAACGGCTCAGCCGCAAAAGCAGTTGACTGCAAGGGTAAAGCGCCTAGATCTCTCGGAAGCACGTCCTTGCTCGCTTATCACGTGCAGGAGTCATCAAGAATCCGCCAACATAGGCCAACGTTGGCAGTCCAGCTTAGATTTGTCTACACTCCGCTCAGGGCATCGACCTCCTCAAGGACAAGCAGGCGCTTCAGCGCCTGACCGAGGCCGCCGAGAAGGCCAAGATCGAGCTGTCTGGCGTGCAGGAGGTGCGCCAGCTTGGGTGTACAAGCCGCGTGCTTGATCCAAAGCCTGCTTCGCTTCGCGTCCTGCGATTTTGTCTTGCGAAGCTGTCAGGCCAAGATTTCCCTCCCGTTCATCACCGCCGATGCCACGGGCCCCAAGCACATCGAGCAGAGCCTCTCCCGGGCCAAGTTCGAGCAGCTGGCCAGCAAGCTCATCACTCGCTGCAAGACCGCGGGGGAAGCTTCTTAAGCGGTGGTGAGTGGTGGTGTAAATTGTAAATGCGCGGGCTTAGCTTGGTGCGTCCTGTCATAGCATGATACGCAGCATGATACATAACATGACACCACTTTTGCTCACTCGGGCCGCGCAGGAGCCCAGTCGAGAGTGCCATGAAGGATGCCAAGCTGAGTGCTAGCGACATCAACGAGATTGTGCTAGTGGGTGGCTCCACCCGAATCCCCTCCATCCAGACCCTGGCGTCGGAGCTGGTGGGTGGCAAGAAGCCTAACCAGAGCGTGAATCCGGACGAAGTGGTGGCTGTGGGTGCGGCCGTGCAGGCTGGTGTCCTGGCGGGTGACGTGAAGGACATCGTCCTTCTGGATGTGACGCCCTTGTCCTTGGGCGTCGAGACACTGGGCGGAGTGGCCACAGTGCTCATCCCTCGGAATACCACGATTCCCACCAAGAAGACAGAGGCATGGGTGGGGGTGGGGGCGGGGGTTGGGGCGAGGGGGGGGGGCAAGATTTTGCTGCAAACATCTGGGCAAGCCAGCTAGGACTTAGACACCTGACCTGGCAGGTCTTCTCCACTGCCACGGACTCCCAGCCGTCTGTGGAGATCGTGGTGCTGCAGGGCGAGCGGCAGTTTGCAAAGGACAACAAGATCCTGGGTACCTTCCGCCTGGACGGCGTGCCGCCGGCGCCGCGAGGCGTGCCGCAGATCGAGGTGACCTTTGACATTGATGCCAACGGTATCCTCAACGTGGGCGCGAAGGACCGTGGTACAGGCAAGGAGCAGACGATCACCATCGCTGGATCCTCCACGCTGGACAAGACGGACGTCGACAAGATGGTGCAGGATGCCGAGGCCAACGCCGCCGACGACGCCAAGCGCAAGGATGCCGTGGAGACCAAGAACAACGCGGAGAGCCTGGTGTACCAGACCGAGAAGCAGCTGTCTGACCTGGGCGACAAGGTGCCTGCAGACCTGAAGGCCAGCATCGACCCCAAGCTGCAGGCGCTGAAGGACAAGGTCGGTGAGGCCGAGCCCGACACTGAGCTCCTCAAGACCATGACCAAGGACCTCCAGGAGGAGCTGATGAAGGTCGGCCAGGCCGCCTACGCGAACACCGGCGGCGCCCCGGCGCCCGAGGGAGCGGCCGGCGATGCCGGCGAGGCTGGGGCGCCCCCGCCCGGCGACGCCAAGAAGGGCAAGGACGACGACGTCATCGACGTGGATGGCCAGTAGTGAGATTTTGCTTTCCTCTCACTATTCTATAGCAGGCAGTGCTCAAACTAAGAGGAGTTTCCAGTCAAGATACCATATCGTTTCTACCAAGCCTGCAGTTCATCCCGATTCGCACGCAAGAACAGCAGAAAGCACGCCTCAGTTTGAAAGCGGATCATGCCATGTTCACAGAGGCAATAGTCCCCATCCTACCATTCAAACTGATGTGTTGGGTGCAGTGCGCGGACGCGAATGCGTTGTGTGCATGTCAAGTTCGAGCTAGGATGGCGGCCTCATTTACCAGCGCCTTTTCTCCATGACAGCTGTCAGGTTGCCACAGTTCTGTCCAAAGCAGACTTTAAGTTCCTGTTCATAATGGCTTTGCAGCCACTGTCTGGACCGCCAGATTGCAACATACACCGCACAGCGAAGAGCTGATAAACTTGGCGGGATATAGGTCAGTGTGTCCGTGTGCGGTATTGTCCTGCAGCCTTCGATTCTGCAATTTTGACTTTGTGCGACGGAGCACGGTGGGTAGGCTTGCGGAAGACACACTGATTGATCCATCGCCATGACACGCCTGGCGCTGTGGGGCTCGAGCTGTCTGGGCGACTTGTGATTTTTGTTTCCTGCACGTCGGTCCTCAGGCCGGTGCCTCAGTCCGGTTTGCAGAATCGCTGCCCTTGCACAAGGGTACCGGTGATGTCGTCGTGCAAAGGCAATACTGCTCCGATCGCTGAGGATGGCCAAGAAGGCGGGAACGGCAGCCGTGGCTTGTGCTGGCCTTGCAGGGAACCTGCCTCAGCCGAAGAGGGTAGAACACGTTCTCACCACAAAAACGTCATCCTTTTTCAAGATTTTTCCAGTGCTGCCAAGGCTGGGGTTCGTGGCCTCACCAGGTGGGAGGAATGTGTTTTGCACGGTTTTTGTTCGTGTTTGCACACAAGTTTGTTCTGTCGTTTTGTGTGTGTGTGTGTGTGTGTGTGTGTGTGTGTGTGCGTGGGTGTGTGTGTGTGTGTGTGGAAGGAAATCGTTGAACATGTGATGAAGACCCCACACTCACCGCAGGAAGCCAGTTTGTTTTGCAAGCGCGCGAGGGTGCAGTGGTGCCTTTGGTGTGCAGTGCCCAGCGAAGACCGCACCATTCCGCACCATTGGAAGGTGATCTGATGTGATCTGAAGGGGCGCCCTTCTTACCGTTCTTGCAAAAGGGTGAGTGCAAGGCGCGCCACCACAAGCAGAGCAAAACGGACTAAGCAAGCCCCACTCAAAACACATTCGCTGGCGTATAGCTCCACACGCTGATCACGCAGCCATCAAGCAGGGTGTTCATCAAGTAGTAGGATAGAGCACGTAATTGAGAAACATGCGTTGAGCGCGACCCTGAGATAGTACATCTAGGAAACTCAAGTTTGGATACCCAGAGCATCTATTTAGACTACTAGGGACTATTGGCGCAGCAAGCTGAAGCACTCCGTAAGCGTTGGCATACAGATATGGAGAAGTTGTCAGCCTGCCAACAGCCGGCTCCAACAGATATGCGCGGGGCAGTTTTGCACGGTTTGTTCGTCTTTGCGCACATGGAGTGTGGTTTGTGTGTTTCTTTGTCTTTCTGTCTGTCTTGTCTGTCTTGTCTCTGTGTCTGTGTCTGTGTCTCTGTCTGTGTCAGTGCCAGTGTCTGTGTCTGTGTCAGTGTCAGTGTCTCTGTGTCTGTGTCAGTGTCAGTGTCTCTGTGTCTGTGTGTGTCTGTCAGTGTCAGTGTCAGTGTCAGTGTCAGTGTCAGTGTCAGTGTCAGTGTCAGTGTCAGTGTCAGTGTCTCGTGTGTGTGTGTGTGTGTGTGTGTGTGTGTGTGTGTGTGTGTGTTTGTGTGTTTGTGTGTTTGTGTTCTTGTGTGTTTGTGTGTTTGTGTGTGTGTGTGTGTGTGTGTGTGTGTGTGTGTGTGTGTGTGTGTGTGTGTGTGTGTGTGTGTGTGTGTGTGTGTGTGTGTGTGTGTGTGTGTGTGTGTGTGTGTGTGTGTGTGTGTGTGTGTGTTGTGTGTTGTGTGTTTGTGTGTTTGTGTGTTTGTGTGTTTGTGTGTTTGTGTGTTTGTGTGTTTGTGTGTTTGTGTGTTTGTGTGTTTGTGTGTTTGTGTGTTTGCGTGCTTGCGTGCTTGCGTGCTTGCGTGCTTGCGTGCTTGCGTGCTTGCGTGCTTGCGTGCTTGCGTGCTTGCGTGCTTGCTTGCTTGCGTGCTTGCGTGCTTGCGTGCTTGCGTGCTTGCGTGCTTGCGTGCTTGCGTGCTTGCGTGTTTGCGTGGTTGCGTGTTTGCGTGTTTGCGTGTGTGTGCGTGTTTGCGTGTTTGCATGTTTGTGTGTTTCTGTTTGTTTGTGTTTGCGCTTGTGTGTGTGTGTGTCTGTTTGTATGCGTTTGTCTATCTGTCTGGCTGTTTTTTGTTTGTTTGTTTGACGCCACGGTTTGAGATCTCGGTGTTGGATGTTTCCAGCGCTTGTTTCTCACACCAGGCGCTTGTTGAAGATGACGCATTGAGGCATTGCCCGTACTCCCAAGCGTTTGCCCGTGCACTCCTGGCCTGGGCTAATGAGCTCCAGTGGGCCTGCAATCATACACATGCTGACACATCCATGACTGAACTCCTTGTCAACTTCATCTTCAGCACGGGGTTGCGACCGCCCGTCAACATTAACAAATTTCGTGCCAAGAAAAGGCCATCATATATGATGCGGGACTCCTGCACATGTGATGTACCGCTGGAAGCATTCACGTTTGCAGAAGACCTGCGAACATTCCAAGCGGCAGTCAAATGGTTTAGGAAAAGCATGCGCGTAGCTCTCCTCCCTGGGGAATGTGTTGTGAATTGTCGTAGTCTGTACGTGTTGGGCTACAGCCGCCCAACCAAAGGTGTATCATATCGTGTCAAACATATGTGTGAGCCGGACCCTCGCGCTCACTTGCAAGATTTGTTTATGCAACGTTCTGCTCGGAAGTGGAGGTTTGATTTTCACATCGCTCCTCCGCTCAATTAAGCTCTTTATGCTCGAAGTTCACCTCTGTTGTGACATGGTCACGCGAATGCTGGGCTATGCTCACTGTAGCACAGACTACGCAAAGCGTCAAAGTCAAAAATGTTTGTTTGTTTGTTTGTTTGTTTTTTCGTCTGTGTCTCTGTGTGTGTGTGTGGGTGTGGGTGGGTGGGTGGGTGGGTAGGTCGGTGGGTGCGTGTGGGCTGCTGCTTTCCTTGAAAGCGTGCCCTGCAGATGCGGGCAATCGGCGGGTGCCAGTTGCGGATGCTGTCAAGGCCTCTGCGAAGGCGCGGGAGCGGTGGAGCCGGTGGATAGGACAAGCTGTGGCAACAAGCTCCTAGAGAAAGCGCGGCCTTTGTGAGGTGACAGCGTCTCCCGAAGCAGGCAAGAGGCTTGAAGTCTTTGGGTCTTAGAGAACACGGTCGTGAGCAAGAGAGCATCTTGCAGCGCTTCCCACTGAGGCAGCGCCCTCACCGTGGGCGCGGCTGCGGCCACGGCCGCAGGTGCCGTGGCAGCGTCCACGCGACGGAAGACCCGGGCCAGCAGAGCTGGGGCCTGAGGCTCAGTGCAGGGTGCGGCATGACTCCTCCGGGTCTTGTCTTGCAGGTCGCTGCGCGTGCCGAAGTGGCCCCTGGTGAGAAGGTGGTGGGCATTGACCTGGGCACCACCAACTCCGCAGTGGCTGCCATGGAGGCAGCCGAGTGACCACAAGAACACTCCAGCATGAGGGTGTGCCGGAGTGTGGTGTCTTCGAAAGCTCAGCTGGGTTCCGTGACTCGTCATCTTGTGGTTGGGTCTTGTGTGCTTTGTCCGGAGGCCGGCACCCCCACCGTGATCCCCAATGCGGAGGGTGCACGCACCACGCCGAGCGTCGTGGCCTACTCCAAGAGTGGTGAGCTGCTCGTGGGGCAGATCGCCAAGCGCCAGGCTCGCGCACATGTTTTTGGTGATGTTTGTAACTGACGCACTCGGCTAGTGTCTCACTTGGCCGTTTTCTTCAGTCTTGCTCCTCCACTGGATCAAAGCAGGCTGTCGTGAACCCGGAGAACACCTTCTACTCCGTGAAGCGCTTTGTCGGCCGCCAGCCGGGTGAGGTGAAGGAAGAACTGAAGGAGGTGTCCTACCAGGTGGACTTCGAAGGTCAGAAGGTGAAGATCGACTGCCCAGTCTTGAGCAAGAAGTTCGCACCCGAGGAGATCTCTGCACAGGTGCTGCGCAAGCTCAGCGGCGATGCCGGCACGTACTTGAGTGCCACCGTCCAGAAGGCGGGCTGCTTCCGAGTGGTCAAACTGCTTGGCTATCTCCAAGTCCAACCCTGTCCAAGCCCCGGTGCAGTTGTGTGGCCTCGGCACAGGCCGTCGTGACGGTGCCGGCTTACTTCAACGACTCGCAGCGTCAGGCACCGTGCAGCAGTGTGTAGCAGTGTAGCATAGTGTAGCAAATCAAGGTGGCGGTGCTGGTTCATGAGCTCATGAACAATTGTCTGTGTGAGGGTCGCAGAAGGTGTCATGGATAGTGGAGGTGCTGTTTCGTGGCTTGCCACGCCCAGCCAAGCGACTGAGGCCACGAAGGATGCAGGCAAGATTGCCGGATTGGATGTCCTTCGGATTGTCAACGAGCCCACCGCTGCATCCTTGGCATATGGCCTGGAGAAGGCGAACAACGAGACGATTTTGGTCTTCGACCTCGGCGGCGGCACCTTCGATGTCTCCGTGCTGGAGGTTGGGGACGGCGTTTGCGAGGTGCTGGCAACCAACGGAGACACCCATCTGGGCGGTGACGACTTCGACAAGGTCATCGTGGATTGGCTGGCGGAAGACTTCCAGAAGACCGAGGCGCTGTGGGACGAATGATGTTGTTGCCTCACGTGGTTGTTGATTGGGGTTAGTGCCTGGAAGCGGCCCAGGCAAGCTCAACGTGGGTAGAACTTTAAGAAGTAAGTCCTTGCTCGCTTATCACATGCAGGAGTCACCAGGAATCCGTTGGCAGTCCAGCTTAGATTTGTGTACGCTCCGCTCAGGGCATCGACCTCCTCAAGGACAAGCAGGCGCTTCAGCGCCTGACCGAGGCCGCCGAGAAGGCCAAGATCGAGCTGTCTGGCGTGCAGGAGGTGCGCCAGCTTGGGTGTACAAGCCGCGAGCTTGATCCAAAGCCTGCTTCGCTTCGTGTGCTGTGATTTTGTCTTGCGAAGCTGTCAGGCCAAGATTTCCCTCCCGTTCATCACCGCCGATGCCACGGGCCCCAAGCACATCGAGCAGAGCCTCTCCCGGGCCAAGTTCGAGCAGCTGGCCAGCAAGCTCATCACTCGCTGCAAGACCGCGGGGGAAGCTTCTTAAGCGGTGATGAGTGGTGTAGATTGTAAATGCGCAAGCTTAGCTTGGTGCGTCCTGTCATAGCATGATACGCAGCATGATACACAGCATGACACTGCTTGTGCTCACTCGGCCTGCGCAGGAGCCCAGTCGAGAGTGCCATGAAGGATGCCAAGCTGAGTGCTAGCGACATCAACGAGATTGTGCTAGTGGGTGGCTCCACCCGAATCCCCTCCATCCAGACCCTGGCGTCGGAGCTGGTGGGTGGCAAGAAGCCTAACCAGAGCGTGAATCCGGACGAAGTGGTGGCTGTGGGTGCGGCCGTGCAGGCTGGTGTCCTGGCGGGTGACGTGAAGGACATCGTCCTTCTGGATGTGACGCCCTTGTCCTTGGGCGTCGAGACACTGGGCGGAGTGGCCACAGTGCTCATCCCTCGGAATACCACGATTCCCACCAAGAAGACAGAGGCATGGGTGGGGGTGGGGGCGGGGGTTGGGGCGAGGGGGGGGGGCAAGATTTTGCTGCAAACATCTGGGCAAGCCAGCTAGGACTTAGACACCTGACCTGGCAGGTCTTCTCCACTGCCACGGACTCCCAGCCGTCTGTGGAGATCGTGGTGCTGCAGGGCGAGCGGCAGTTTGCAAAGGACAACAAGATCCTGGGTACCTTCCGCCTGGACGGCGTGCCGCCGGCGCCGCGAGGTGTGCCGCAGATCGAGGTGACCTTTGACATTGATGCCAACGGTATCCTCAACGTGGGCGCGAAGGACCGTGGTACAGGCAAGGAGCAGACGATCACCATCGCTGGATCCTCCACGCTGGACAAGACGGACGTCGACAAGATGGTGCAGGATGCCGAGGCCAACGCCGCCGACGACGCCAAGCGCAAGGATGCCGTGGAGACCAAGAACAACGCGGAGAGCCTGGTGTACCAGACCGAGAAGCAGCTGTCTGACCTGGGCGACAAGGTGCCTGCAGACCTGAAGGCCAGCATCGACCCCAAGCTGCAGGCGCTGAAGGACAAGGTCGGTGAGGCCGAGCCCGACACTGAGCTCCTCAAGACCATGACCAAGGACCTCCAGGAGGAGCTGATGAAGGTCGGCCAGGCCGCCTACGCGAACACCGGCGGCGCCCCGGCGCCCGAGGGAGCGGCCGGCGATGCCGGCGAGGCTGGGGCGCCCCCGCCCGGCGACGCCAAGAAGGGCAAGGACGACGACGTCATCGACGTGGATGGCCAGTAA